TAATTAGAGTAAAAACAGAAACGATTGAATGTAAATCAGTTTATATACATTCATATTACATTATTATATGCATTTCGACCCATTTCTGCCAATTTCTTGGTTCCAAATATTAGAGACTTAGCCCCTTTAACGTCCTACTTATAACTTTTGCTAATACAGTGTGCTTTGAGGGAAAATTTTGCCTGACAGCAGCGGTACAGCCTACTCTTATTTCGAATTTCAAGAGTCAATATGGGGACCTCCCATGCGAACAACTAGACACTGTCCTTATCGGGCCCTCCATCTTGCACCACTGACGTGAAAAAAAAAACGAACAGGGATATCCCGAGGAACTTTCTCTGCCAACAATAGCCGCAACTGAGGACCTTCTGTTTAGCAAGCCAACATCTTACTCGCTGATTCACAGTGGCTCCCCCACAGGGGAAAAAGCTAAATAACTAACATAACTCCATGCACATATTGGACATGGTTTACTGAGTCACCATGGCTCACCCACAGAAGAAAAGCTAAATAACTATTTATCTTATATTCTTTATCTTTCTTGAGTTTTATTAATTATCTTACTTTTATTTTAATAATTTTATATATTCTACACACTTGTCTATATGGTGATGTTTTAAGAGGTTTTTTTAAATGTACGTGCCTTTCTGTATATCCTTTTTGTATTTTGTATTTCCATTTTTGCTTTAATATCTATATTGTAAAGCGCACTGGAGTACAGTACTGTGGAAATGAAATGAAATGGGGTTTAACGTCCTACTGTTTTGCTCCGAACTGGGCTAATGAAGACGGGCATACGCCATACAGTGTGCTATGAGGGTAATTTTGCCCGGACAGCGGCACTACGGCCTACTGTTATATCGAATTCCAACTGTCAAGGGATCTTTTACGTGCACGCCAATGTGTACACGGGACCTCGGTTTTCCGTCTCATCCGAATGACTAGACAGCTGTCCTTGTCAGGCCCTCCGTCCTGCATCACTGACAAGGGGGAACCACGCCGGAAAATCTGGATGAACTTTCTCGGCCAATGCAGGGATCGAACACCCGACCTCCAGTACTGTGGAAGTGGCGCTATATAAATGCATAATAATAATAATATGTATAATTCGTGCACTCTCTTCTTAATACATATCTTAATAGCCTTGTGACCGCCTAGTATTTTCAACTGTCCTCTTTGCTTCATTTTTACGTTGTGTTTTTTCTTCTTACTATCTCAGTAGGTAATACGTTATCTTCTCATTAGTTAAGACAGTTGTCTTACCAGGAATAACAATGCAACAGTTCCGTTCTACATTTTATATAATGCACTGATTGCAAGCATAATAGATTATATTAGCATACTTAAAATTAACACCTTTCTCTCAACCCCAACTCCTTTAAAAATCTAACCAGTATGATTAGACTCAGGAAACGACTATATCATATGGTCGTCTAAAGAACCAAGGCGATGCCTACCCTATCTGAGAATTCAGAAGCAGTCTCTAGGAACTCAGATGGCATCTGTCCAGAACCCAATGATATCTCAATCTTAAATGGCTGGTTTGGGCTTTTTAACAGATTTGCTTACGTGATGACTTAAGATTCTTCAAATAATGAATTTGATTGCATGGTTATAATGTATTATTTAATTAGTAAAATTCCAATCACGTGTTTAACTTGATATTCTGATTCCCACGGAACCAGCTATGTTTACCAAATTATAACTCTTTTTATGTTTAAATCCGTCACTCATTATTTGAGTGCATTAGATTTCAATACAATGCGTGTATGTGAACCCAATAATTAGTTAAAGACACAATATGGTTGCAAAGACCATAGTACTACACTGTTTCTAACCAGTACTGTTATATGTAAAACTGTATAATGGTTCTTGAATTGTAGATTTTATAAAGATATATAAACAAAGATCAGAACATTACGTATTATTCAGTAACTGAAAACACAACGTGAAGTCAAATATCCAAGGCCAATTGGAACAGTGTTGCGCCCCCACCCCCGTCCTGTGTCATATAAAGTTTCTTGATGAATAACATGTCACCTACTGAAGTATGAAACTGTCTAATATTTTGTCCTGTTTTAACAAGCTTTGGATGAGTTTTGGAGACTAAATTTAGTGTCATCGATCCAAAATGTTGACCAAAATGTCAACTCTGTAAATGTAAAATGACAATTCGGTATGATAGTACGTGGATTTAAAGGACATGTTATCCTTATATATAACGGACTGGAGTAGAGAGCGATAACAGATGCACGGTAGCTATTCTTCAGGTCATTGATAATTCCTATAGATATAGACATACCATTAATATTTTTTTCTTAAAGGCTACGACTGTCTCGCCATTTTAATTGTAACACGGCGAACTAGTCCAGAGCGTAAACAGTTTAGGCCTGTTTACTGATGAATATTGTGCTACTATAGAAACATATCATTTTATTTTTTATTATTACAAAGTTATGTGAATTATAATTCTACAGGCTGCATCACGTAGATTACAAATAGTATATCTGCGTGAGACTATATGGACGCCATCTTTATTCCTTTGCCATGAACAACAAACATGATTGCAAATTTGCAGCCTATCCATATTGAAATTAAGACCCGATTTGCACACTTCAAGCCCCTGTGTAATTTTCGTTTTCGTTGGTGTGGTTTCACAGAGAATTTTTAGTATGCCGGATGGGTATATAATCTTTGTACCTATTTCAAATTTTGGGTGAAATGGTAGGGGCCATAACCCACGAAGTTGGAGTCCTAGGTCCACCAAAATCTACCTAATCCCAGATCCCCAACTACTTAACATATGTGTGGCTTTGAACGATTTGCGTATGTGGGTGGGTTCGTTACAATTTCTACACACAAACTGGACTATTGTAAACTGACATACGCTATGATTAGTATGAAGTGTGGTATATGGATAATTTCGCCCTGACAGTGACCTCTTATTACGATTTCCAACTGTCATGGATCTGTAACGTGTTGTCTTTGGTATACACGGGACCTAGGCCTTCTGCCCCATCCCATTACTATTCTTACCGTTGTAAGAAAGATAAGCAGAACACCTGATACCACTTGTTTGAGCAGTTCTTATAGTTAACCAAATTTGCATAGTAAATTTCCAGGTGAACTTCCCTAGGTCATTCTCTTATTTGCCAGTCTTTCATCACTGTATTTCCAAATCTTACAATCGAATTTGACAATTTGGTCGAATGTGAATAGTGATAAATTATACAGTTTCCAATGTGCAGATAAATTGCGGTGTTCATAACCTTCGTCATTAGAATTTATTTATATTACGTCCTCCCGATTATCTTTCGTGTTCACAAAAAAAGTCCTGAAACAATGTCGATATGACTCATGAGAAAAGCACAGACAGTTCTACTTCGGTGCACTCTTACAGTTTCAGAAGTTCTTGGTAATACCATCTTGCAATTTCCCATCAAAGTTAACGATGATTTCCTTGCAAGGCGTGTACATTTATAATATATTTATCATTTCATAAAAACTTCAATTTTACTGTCATAAATAAAAAAGAGGAGACAACTTGAAAGATAAAACTTGCATATATAGCTAGAAATTTAACTTTAATCTCTATCCAATATTGGCAGTCGACTGAAACATCATCGAAGATGAAACTTTTGTTGTGCCTAGTTGCTTTAGCTGGTAAGTTTTTAAATTATGAAAAGTATTCCTTCGCGAGAAAAATACGATTGTTATGCCATTAAAATTATATTAGAATACTAGTACACCTGAAAAAATCTGTATTAAAAATGATCCCTAAAAGAAGTTTAACACCAGTTTTCTATTTTCTCTAAAGGTCTTGTTGCCAGTGAACCATCACAAAGAATCGTTGGGGGAAGTGATGCATATGCTGGACAATTCCCGTGGCAAGTTTCTCTCCAGAGAAGTTCTGGTTTCACTTGGTCTCACATCTGTGGTGGAAGTTTGATTGCTAACAACCGTGTTTTAACTGCTGCTCACTGTGTTACTGCTACCAGGTTTAAACCATTATAATCATATTCAGTAAATGGGCTGCATAAATATAGATTAGAAGCTAAAAACGCGATCTTTCGTAGAATCAGGGGCCATAATCCAGGAAGTTACAGTCCGTTATGCATAATCCAGGAAGTTGCGGTCCGATATGCACGAATATCCAAAGAAATCGAGATCTTTGGGGGTTTATTGTGACCTCTGGAGAGAGCACAAACAAGGGCCACAATCCAGGAAGTTGGGCGAATATGGAAAGTAACAGAGATCTTTGAGTTGCAAACATACATTTTAACTTTTATTAAAGTTACGGTCCGGTATATGCCAGTATCGACAGGAACCGATATATTTGGGGGACAATCCTATATTTCAAGTTTCGTCAAAACCGGATAAAAGTTGTGACTTGTAGAGTATCTACAAAGTGTCCACAAACAAATTGTCAACGACAATATACGCTCACATGAAAATGTGGGCGTACAAAAATTAGATACGAGATGATCCCTGCTTCTAAAATATTTGGTTGAATCATTTTCCACTTTGATTATTTTGCACACCACAAATGATCACATTATTGCACTGAATTATATAATCTGTTTTTATTTTGCCTAGTCCTGGATCCTACAGGGTTGTTCTTGGTAACCACAGACTGAATAATGTTGATGGTACAGAACAGACTATCTATATCAGCTCTATTGTAAATGTAAGTGGTCTGTAACATTCGGAATACAATTCACAAATAGATAAAAAAAATATATATGAATTCAGTTCCGACCATATAATTTTTATTTTGAATCATTATTCCCGTTACTGCGATTATTGATATTAATATATCTTTAATATAGAACAATTGAGAGGCGGGTCCTCTAAACTTCTATCTGTTCTCCGATCCAGTTTCTGAAAATAAATATTGTTTCAAAAAAATATAAATAGCACAATCTCCTAGTATACCCTTCTAGCTTCATCTTCAATACAAGAAATATAGTGGTTGATATTATCCGTTCTTTCAGCATCCAAACTACAATGGTAATGCTGCTGGATATCCCAATGATATTTCTGTTATGAGACTTTCATCTAATGCCAACACCGGAAGTTCAGCTGTAAGCACCATTGGTTTGGCTCCTTCTGGATCAAGTTTTAATGGGCAGACATGTACCATCAGCGGCTGGGGTAGAACATCCGGTAAGCTGTACAATGTTTAAAGTTGTGCCATTCGTCGCTTTTTAACAGCATTGTAATACAGTAGTAATGTTCAAATAAATATAGCAATTGGTATCTAATCCGGGCAAATTAATGAAAATTACCAAATTGTTTGTTAACAGTGAAATACAATTCCAATAAGATTCTAAACTTCTTTTAAGGAAACCAGGGTTCTGATTTTAAAACAGTATTATTATAATATATAATATGTTCTCTTGTTCATTGCTGAAATACTATCTTTTCTTTCTTTTCATAGGTTCTAGCAGTTTGCCCAACATCTTACAATATACAGAGATGGGCAAGATTTCCAATTCGGATTGTTCTAGTAGATGGTCTGGTATCAGCGGGGCTACCATTAACAGTGAGCATATCTGTGTCTATCAATCAGGAAGATCAGCCTGCAATGTAAGTTAAATATACAGTTCGTAAATATGCGAAAGCCATCTAAATTATGTTAAATCAAAGCTAACCCCTATGCAGTCTAACCAGTTAGCCATAGTACCTTATTCAGATGTAAATACTTAAATACTTCCTTTTAAGTCAAGGTGGGGGGGGGGGGGGGTAGTGGTTTAACGCGTGTACGTGAAACCATAAGGTATGTCATTGAGTCAAGTGGTGTGGTTTCGATTCCACAATGGTACGTGACAGGGAGTAGTGTCGCCTGTCCAACATCGTGGGTTTTTCCGGGTTCTTCCGTTTCCAATCTGATTAAAATACAGATCTATATTTCGTTTCGTATCTTTATACTTTCGATGGCCTACAGTACATGAAGATCATGACCGGTTGTAGTAAAAGGGCGCGACCCTATGACGTCAGACATTGATTATTCAATCAGCGTTGACGTTTCTACTGGTTTACCCACAGGTCCTTGCATCGCACTCCAAGAAGTCGCCGTAACAGATGGTTTCATTGGCTAATCCCTCACGTCATTCAGAACGCAGGTTATACATGTATAACAACTCTTTCAGATCCTACTGTAATACAGACAAATAAAACGAAACTTTGAAGTATAAAAAACGAAATGAAATAGGATATGTGCTTCGACCTACTGCTAAAGACCCCTAAAGCGAATTTTTGAAATAAAATTGAGCTAGTTTGCGTCGAGTGGACGTTAAACCCCATTTCCCTTTCTTTCTCTCCCCATTTAAGTCAAGGGTTCGTTGACATCTTACACTTAGTAGCATTATTTTCTACACCAAATATCTGACTAGTACCTGGTTGATAAGGCTGTCTTATCTCGAAGCCAAGGCTGCCTGGGTGGCGGAACCATCTAATGCGTTCGCTTTAGATCGTATGGTCTATCATTGAGTCAAGTGGCGTGGTTTCGATTTCCAACGTGAATGTGACAAGGAGTAGGGTCGTCTGTGCAATATCGTGGGGTTTCACCGGGTCACTCTATTTCCTCCCACTGCTAAAGATCCCGATGCACAAGCCAATTCTTGAAAAAAAATTGAATCACAAGTTAGTCCCGAAATCACCGAGTTTGTGTTGAGTGGACGTTTTAAACCCCATTCCTTTCTATCTCCACATATGCTACATCGGAACCACGACCACAAGCCAGATGTGACCAGCAACCGCCATACAATGTATGATAAACTATTTTTCCTTTTTATACAGGGAGATAGTGGTGGACCTATGATATGTAATGGTATGTTAGCTGGTGTTACATCATGGGGAATTTCAGGTTGTGGTGGAAATTATCCCAGTGTTTATACTCGAGTATCCCAGTTTGTTAGTTGGATTAATTCCATCTAGTTTATTCTAGAACTGTAAGATAAAATTCTCTATGGTTGTACTTATGTAATAAATTCAGTTGTACGACCATTTCGTCGTTAATTTCGTCTTCCCAGAATGCCAAACCAAACCTAATAGTTTTCTTTCACACATTCCAAATGACAATTAATTATAATCTATGTGGGTTATTTGGTTATTTGAATGTTGTTTTGTTCATTGAATTGGGTCGTTACCTACATTTCGGTTGAAAGTACTATTAGAGGGTGGCGTGGGGATAGTGGTTTAACCGTGCGCGTTAAATAACCGGGTCATTGAGTCAAGTAGCGTTGTTTCGATCCCTGCAAGAAGTATGATCGCTTGTCCAACCCGGTTTCCTCCCTCTGCTAAAAGACCCCTAAGCGGAAGCGAATTATTGGAATATAATCGAACCATGTCAGTCACGAAATGACCTAGTTTGTGTCGAGTGGCGAGTGGACGTCACCCCTTCCCCCCTCTCCTTCCAATTAGATTAATTAGGTGTCTGCTAATTAACTATTTCAATGGCGCCATAGTCTTACAATCCAACTATGAAATCCGATGCTAGAAAACTGGACACCCTTCATTCGCCCATTCATTCTCAGATTCCATATAAGGGTGATATTTCTGCAGGTGCAATATGTAAAAGAGCTGCTCCCGCCACAAATTAACAGACATAGTTCCCCACTTACTTCCGGCTCAAGGTTTGAATTAGAGACATAGTACATAGAACTACGCCAGACCAGACATCATGTAGATTTAGCAGTAAGCGGTCGGCTCTTGTCAGCCTGTAAGAGTGGTCTGTTGTAGCACCATGGGTCTTTTGTCAGACGTGGAAAGCGGGCCCTTAATTCCAATCGTCACGCCCTACGTTGTATGGGCATTCGTTCCAACAACATGTCTCCACCCCAACTCATATTAGTGTTTATACATTAGATTTAGTTTTGACGAGAAGTGATCAACTATCTGTTACTGAAGTGACAACAGATGATAAACTCATTTCCGACCATTTCCCTGTGTGCTTTAACCCCAATATCTTAAAACTATGGAAGCCTATAATTTCTACTTTTATTAAGAAATAATACACAGCGATAATAGCGCCCCTCGTTTTTTCCTAATTTCTACTTTTCGACTTGCATTTTGGCTTGTATACCGTCTTGTCGACTTTCGATTTAGTAAGTAAGAAGGCGCCAACACGCATACCAAGCCATAATGCAACTCGAAAAGCAGAAATTAGGAAATAAACACACGCGGTATTAGCGACCTATCATTTTGGCTTGCTGTCGTAGTGTTGACTTTTCGAGTTTCGCCTCGGAAGTGGTTGTAGGCCTAATCTCAATTTGCCAGGTCGCATTTTAATACATGCAATTCGCGTTAACAAAATAGTTTGTATAAAGTGTGGTATTAAAGGCGATATTAGCGATCTATGATTTTGGCTTGCTGTTGTGCTGTCGACTTTTTGCCTCGGAAGTTGATGTAGTCTCTACTTTCAAGGTCACATTAGAATACGCGCATTAATAATTGAATTTCATTTACTGTGGCTTCATACCGCATATAAAATATACAGGTTTTCCTGATTGTATATTATTATTTTATTTCAAATTATATTATCACCGTTTGTAGAAAAAGGAAGAACGAGTCGAATAGTAACGTTTCAGTACCGCCGCCAAAATTCTCTAATGATTGTAATTAGTCTTACAAATAAAATTGAAATTTCTATGAGGATTCAGATTCTGGATCATTACGGTACCTGCAATTAAGAATAGGCCTATTGTACATGCAAAACGTTAAACAAAGGGAAATCCTTGGATGAGACTGGTGTGTAGAGACTGAATATATATCGTTCAGTAGATGTGGAAATAACTAAAGACAACAAAAATAAATTCTGATCTTAGTGGATCACATCAAAATTGTGTTAATGTATTTTGTGGAGAGAGAGAGAGAGAGAGAGAGAGAGAGAGAGATGGGGTTTAAAGTCAACTCGACACAAACTAGGTCATTTGGGGACTAACACATGGTTCAATTTTATTTCAATCATTCGCTTGCGCGTAGGGGTCTTTAGCAGTGGAAGGAAACCGGAGGACCCAGAGAAAACCCACGAGGTTGGACAGGCGACCCGAAAGAGAGAGAGAGAGAGAGAGAGCGGGGGGTGGGGGTTAACGACCACTCCACACAAACTAAGTGTTATTCAGAGACTAGCATGGTGCAATTTTATTTTTAAAATTGGCGAGGAGAGAGAGAGAAAGAGAAATGAAGTGAAATGGAATTGAGTTTTAACGTCCTACTGTTCTGCTCGGTACTGGGTTAATGAAGTACAGTGTGCTATAAGGGAAATTTTATCCGGACAGCGCCAATACGGCCAACTCTTATATCGAATCACAACTGTCAAGGGATCTTTTACGTGCACGCCAATGTGTACAAGGAACCTCGGTTTTTCGTCCCACCCGAACAACTAGACAGTTCGTCTTGCCCCCCCCCCCCGTCCTGCATCACTGACAAGGGGGGAACCACGTCGGAAAATCTGGATGAACTTTCTCGGCCAATACAGGGATCGAACACCCGACCTCCAGGATAGCGAGCCAGCTTAGCCACCGTGACCCCTGAGAGTGAAAGAGAGAGAGAGAGGGTTGGGTTTTAACATCCACTTGACGCAAACTAAATCATTTCAATAATTCGTTCGCACGTAGGGGTCTTTAGCAGTGGGTAGAAACTGGGGTGCCCGGAGAAAACCCACAAGGTTGGACAAGCGACCCTACTCCCTTGTCATGTTGTAGCGGGGAATCGAAACCACACAACTTGAATCAATGACCAGTAGGACGTTAAACCCCATTTCATTTCATTTCATTTTTGAATCAATGACAGACCTTGTGAATTCACGCGCACGTGTTAAACCACTAGACCACCCAACCCCCATGTAAGACGGATTTTGTAAGTTGTTGTATATTGTATATATCGGTACGGGGAATTTGTTTTATAATAGGTGTTTTTTTATCAGACATTTTTGGCAGATAAAATATTCCAGTTAGCGGGAAAAAAATATGAACAATTTTTTTGTATAAAAATTATTATCCATTTTGACGGAAAAAATGAGCCCTGATAGCGCGTATTCAAATGCGACCTGGAAAATTGAGACTCCAACAACTTCCAAGGCGAAAGTTGAAAAGTCGACAGTACGACAGCAAGCCAAAATGATTGGTCGCTAATAGCGTGTATGTTATTTCCCATTTTTTACTTTTCGAGTTGCATTTTGGCTTGGTATGCGTGTTGGTGCCTTCTTAGTGACATCAATAAATACAAAAATATGACTAAGTCGAAAGTCGACAAGACGGTATACAAGCCAAAATGCAAGTCGAAAATTTGAAATTAGGAAAAAACGAGGGGCGCTATTATCGCGGTGTGATATTTCTTAATTTCCTATTTTCGAGTTGATTTTGGCTTGTATAGCGTGTTGTCGCCTCACATTTTGTCGTAACTTCTTCTTTTCGACTTTCGCGTTCTGAAGAGGCGAAAAAAAAGAAATTAGGAATGGTAGTTATAGGCTTCCATAGTTATCTTCTCATTAGTTAACACAGTTGTCTTACCAGGAATAACAATGCAACAGTTCAGTTCTCCATTTTATATAATGCACTGAGTTACGTAGATTACAAGCATAATTGATTATATTAGCATACTTAAAATTAACACCTTTCTCTCAACCCCAACTCCTTTAAAAGTCTAACCAGTATGACTAGACTCAGGGAACGACTATATCATATGATCGTCTAAAGTACCAAGGCGATGCCTACCCTATCTGAAAATTCAAAAGTAGTCTCTAGGAACTCAGATGACACCTGTCCGGAACTCAATGATATCTCAATCTTAAATGGCTGGTTTGGGCTTTTTAACGGATTTGCTTACGTGATGACTTAAGATTCTTCAAATAATGAATTTGATTGGATAGTTATAATGTATGATTCAATTAGTAAAATTCCAATCACGTGTTAAACTTGATATTCTGATTCCCATGGAACCAGCTATGTTTACCAAATTATAAATCTTTTTATGTTTAAATCCGTCACTCATTATTTGAGTGCATTAGATTTCAATACAATGCGTTTATGTGAACCCAATAATTAGTTAAAGACACAATATGGTTGCAAAGACCATAGTATTACACTGTTTCTAACCTGTACTGTTATATGTAAAACTGTATAATGGTTTTTGAATTGTGGATTTTTATAAAGATATATAAACAAAGATCAGAACATTACGGATTATTCAGTAACTGAAAACACACCGTGAAGTCATGTATCCAAGGTCATTTGGAACAGCGTTGCGCCCCCCACCCTCTTTGTCACCGTAGTGCCATACATAGTTCCTTGATGAATAACATGTCACCTACTGAAGTATGAAACTGTCTAATATTCTGTCCTGTTTTAACACGTTTTGGATGAGTTTTGGAGACTAAATTTAGTGTCATCGATCCAAAATGGTGACCAAAATGTCAACTCTGTAAATGTAAAATGACAATTCGGTATGATAGTACGTGGATTTAAAGGACATGTTATCCTTATATATAACGGACTGGAGTAGAGAGCGATAACAGATGCACAGTAGCTATTCTTCAGCTCATTGATAATTCCTATAAATATAGACATACCATTAATATTTTTTTTCTTAAAGGCTACGAATGTCTCCGCCATTTTAATTGTAACACGGCGAACTAGTCCAGAGCGTAAACAATTTAGGCCTACAGCTTTTACAGTAATACGTACTTGGCCTGTTTACTGATGAATATTGTGCTACTATAGAAACATATCATTTTATTTTTGTCCCCCGCCTTTCGAAGAAAGCAGGGGACTATTAAAATGGGTTCGTCCGTCTGTCTGTCCGTCTGTCTGTCCGTCACACTTTTTGGGACACAATAACTCTCTTCCTAATTGAGCTAGAATGTTCAAACTTGGTGTATGTGTTTATTAGGTCAATGCCTTGATGGAGTTCGAAGATGAGCATTTTCCGC